AATAAAAAATAAATAAATAAAAAATAAAAAAATAAAAAATAGTTTTCTTTTAGAGTTTTCTTTGAATCGACTGAATACATATGATGGCATGATGTGATATATAACGCACTATGAATGATATCACTTTTGTGAAACATGACTACGGCATATCAAATAGATGTTAGTATTACTATACTACAAAAAAAGTGGACCATTCTACTTTCTGATTGGCTACGCGTCCTCGACTAAAGGAAAGCGCCAATTTTGATAGTCTTTTAGAAATATTGTGTGTCAAATCGATTTTTAATGACCATTTTAAGTTTGTTCACTAAAACCAGCTTTTAACAGTGTGTACAGTAGGTTGATTTTCACTTTCTTTCGCGTTTCAAACGACGTCGGCGATAATTTATGCAAATTTAATTGAACCCGTAAGCGCGAAATTTTAGCAATAAAGGTTTTTTGCTTGTTATATATTTCATTCATTTTTTTGTCCAACTAGTATTGTAATACTAAAACAATTAGACCTCTCGGCTTCCTGGACTACGAGCTGATAGCCCATTCGGCCTTCGGCCTCATGAGCTATCATCTCGTAGTCCACTCGCCCTCGAGGTGTAATTGTTAAATATCCGTCGAACGAAAACAATTCGTAATGATGGCATACATAATCGACACAGCAGATGCTTATTTTTGATGTTTTTCTGTTCCGACAAAATGGTGGCAATGGCAGTTTATGATAGTGATAAATAAGACAGTACGCCAGAAACCTTACCATGGCTTGCCCTTTGCTAGTCATATTCAAACATAGGGCCTCATAATTAAACACTCAGGTTAATGATATTGGATCGTCAACACATGAGGTTTGTGATGATACAGCTACTCGGCAAAACTTCAAAGACCCGCTAAATTATGAAATAACTATTCTGGAAAATATTAACAAAGAATTAAACGATTAGCCCCTACCATGCACGTGGTTTATTTATGTGATAAAACATGCAAAATGCCTGGTTGCGCGCAGATAACACATTAGAAATTCAATATAACTATACTGTCTACTAGATAATTAATAGCTCCTTTCCATAATTATAAATTACTTTGGCATTCTTCATAAAAAATGAAAATGAAAATAACTTTTGAGCTCTGTTGCAGTATACGAACGAGGACATTATTTTTCTTTATCTTGTGACGCCTCCATGTATTCGAGGCGTTGGATCTGGTTCTGATCTGTTGGGTCTTGCTTCTGCTGGAACCTATTAAATAATGTACCCCATCCCTGTTTAAGACCCTCGCATATCACAGAGAAAGGGTACCCCACTGAAGTGACAAAGWATATATATGCATGACCAGTCGATCAATATTGTTTGATGGTGTACGGGTATCAAACATTTAGAGTTTGACATTTATTTTCCCTGTGGCCATCTCTGTAGTTCTGACGAGAAACTGCATATTAATGACAATAAGTTGATTAACTAAATTGTGTGAAGCAGCCAATGAGAACTCACTTTTGCAATAAAAACGTCATTGTTGTGTCATTATCGCATATAGAGTACAATTTTTCATCTAATAAATTCAAGTGTCTGACAAGCCTTTATAACTTAAACCATTCGATCAATAAGGTTTGTAATTACGAAAAGTGTACATAACAAGGTTGAATGTTGAATGAGATTGACCAAAAAGTCATTGTGATAACGAGATTGGCAGTGATCGTTGCTCAAGAAACGGTAAAACTATTTTCAGCCAAGTCGAAGATATATAATCAGTTCACAGTTACGCCAGCTAAAGAGTTTAAGCCAGACATGGATGCCTTTTTTATTATGAAATGGTGTTTCGCCTTGGTTTCTCTTTTCCAGTCGTCACCTGCCACGGCTGAAGGAATATACAAAGACGGAAAAGTCATCATTGGAGCAATCTTGCCAGTACGATACCCCAAAAACTCGAATACCTCAAGATTTTCGTGTGCAGAATTGCGTCCTCAAGGTCTTGCTCATGTGGAGGCTGTGTTGTATGCTATTGAAACTATAAACAAAGACAACTCCCTTTTGACAAATGTGACTTTGGGATATGATGTAAAAGGAAGTTGCTTAAACCCAGCTTTGGCAAACACCTTGACTTCCGAATTTGTCACAAGAAATAAGGCTATCAGACTCAAGTACCAGCTGAACGATACGGACAAATGCTTTCAAAAGTACTTTGGGAATCTTCGGAAGCCAATTGCAGCTGTGATCGGACCTGGAGACTCCAGGAGCTCTGTCGTTGCGGCCAGTCAGTTGAACATTGATGATATTCCTCAAGTTGCCCCGTTTGCCACTAGTGAAGAACTCAGCCAGCCATATTTCAAGACGTTTTTTAGGCCAGTTCCACCAGACGGACAACAAGCCATAGCTATCGCCGACATTGTAGACTATTTCAAATGGAAATACATTTACATCATAGCCGAAGATAGTACCTACGGAAAATCCGGCGTCATGTCCCTGCAAAAGGAAGTCGATGAAAGAGAAACGTTTTGCATATCTGAGATAGCCTACTTCCCATCGTCCGGTTACCAACAGGCCATGAAAAAAATTGTTTCAAAAATCAAATTTTCGTCAAAAGTGAAAGTGATGGTGTTATGGAGTGGCACTACTACTTCAACCCGTTTCATTGAAGAAGCCYACAGTCAAGGAATTACAGGACGAACGTGGATTGCACCTGACGGATGGTCCGAGGAAACGCCTTTGTTTAAGACCAATTTCATGCAAACAATTGGAGGATTCGTGGGAACAAAACTTCGAAAGTACAACGTAGATGAATATTTTCGCCATTTAACCAGCTTGAACTATTCATCTGCAAGAGTTCAGCACCATACTTGGTGGAGAGAGTACTGGATGCTCCAGAAMAAATGTGAAAACATTTCGACATGCGATTTTACAAACTTTCGCATCACAAAASAACGATATCACGAAATGTATTCTTCTYATCTTCCTTTCRTAATCGATGCAGTCTATGTGATTGCTCATTCCCTTGATGCAATATACCGCTGCCAAGAAAGCMCAACAAACGCCTGCCCAAAGACTGAACCATTTATTGATACAAAAGACATTTTGAGATACATACGCAATGTAACCTTTGAAGGAGTAACGGGAAGAGTCGATTTTGATGAACATGGAGACTCCATTAKTTCGGCCGCCTATGATATTGTTAATTTACAAGCMGGGACCACTRCYCCTCAGTTGAAGAYWRTYGGCACTTGGGACCGAAACAAAGCAAGCCGACTAAATATAAGCARCAATTCATTGTATTGGAACAACGGCACTAACAAGGTTCCAGTATCAGTATGCATAGAACCGTGTTCGCCAGGGTACATGCAGACAATGACAGTAGAATGCTGTTGGGAGTGCATCCCCTGCCAAGCTGGTCTTATTAGTCAAAGATACAGCTCTTCGAACTGCACTGAATGCCCAATAGATCAAATGCCTAACCAAGATCGAACAGAGTGCAYTGACTTGCCAGAAGTGAATATCTCATTTTATGATTCTCAGTCCATTGTTCTCCTCGTGGTGGCAGCCATCGAGCTTGTTTTGGTTCTCTTTGTCTTATTCATCGGCTTGAAATACCGAAATACGCCAATTGTCAAGTCTTCCAATCGAGAAATGAGTGTCGTATTTCTTTTCGGAATAGTCGTTGGAATAGTATCTGGGGTTATCCGCCTTGCTCGTCCAACTCCTTTGATATGTTATTTCAACAATCCACTCGACGCCCTCTACTGTACGCTATGCTTATCTATTCTAATCGTCAAGACCAAYCGATTGGTTCGAGTTTTCGAGTTGAATTTCGTCCCATCACGAATTAGCAAGATCTGCAATCTTAAGTATACGCAATTTATGGTTCTGCTTTCTTTGAACGTAATAACAATAGTACTCATGACATTATGGCATGTACTCGACCCACCTTACGTTCAYGTTACAACGGAACGTTTAAAGTCAAAGCACTTAGAATGCAGACGACATAAGAGAACTGTTGGCCTTGCTCTTCAAGCTTCAGTGTATGCATACCAGTTTAGTCTGTCCATCTTCTGTGCTTACTACGCGTTCAAGGCCAGGAACCTACCAGAAAACTTTAGTGAAGCACGTTACATTGCCTTTGCRATGTACATGCAACTTCTGTGTTCGATGTGCTATGCTATATTGCAAAACACCGTGACGGGGAACTTTTTAACAATTTTCTCATCAGCGATATTAATTGTAAGTTCAATTGGGTTTCTCGTGTGTATGTTTGCTCCAAAGGTCTACATCATTCTGAGATTCCCAGAGAAAAATACTTTGAAGTACGTACAGAAATCTGTGGCAAATCATTCTCTTCACAAGGACTTTGTATCCAGTGATGCCACTAAGAATGCTTTGTCCTGCAAACTGAAGGAAGCAGACCGTAGTGAGGCTGAACCTCCGGTCAGAGAAGCAGTGGTGATCTTAGAACCCAGTGAAGTCTTCCATGGCGATGCAAAGGGAATGGAAGTTCACAATGAAGAGAAAGAAGAAAATCTATAGTTCAAAAAAATATCTTGTGCCGTTGTCAAGAACCACAGAGCTTTTCAGATTTCAGATATTCCGGCAGGCTACCATCCACAGCAAAACACAAGAAAAGTTCCAGCCAAACCGAATCAATTCCAAAAAAGAGAAGAATAAAAAACTAGCTGAGCATTGTAATCGAGCAATGTTGGATCTAAAGTTATGAAGATCATGATGACATACGCAATATTCTTTTAGTGGACTATTCCGTCGTACACTAGTCGTATGGGTCTCAGTTTATTTCTATGTTTAATTAATACAAATCGCCGATCTTTGTTTGTTACTGTTTGACTATAGTTATCTCAGTCCAATGGCCGAACTTATGTATTGTATAATTGAAAACGAATTGATTCTTATACAGACCATGCATCATTTTACGTGATGGAGACGTTGTAATTGTAMACACTTTTTAATGTTAAATGTAAGGCCTGTTTTAGACGTCGGTCTTTTGCCGCGTCTAAACTAATTGCTTACAAGCAGTTTTTTTGAAGTTTTCAGTCTACATCGATTGATATTTACAGATTATAGCAATACGTTTTTCCAACTGAACAAAATCTACTAATGTCAATAAATTCACTAAAAATGTACACAATGCTCAGAAACTCAACTCCACCAATTAGATTAAATTCGACAAATGATCGACGTCGGAAACGGGCCTAAAATGTATAATTGCACTCATATTTAGATGCCGCAGTATCCTGAACTAAAAACGTTATGAGAATTCAAGCCTTTTTAGTCAATTCTGAATAATTTTGAATCTTTCTTAACTATCAGGATAGTGAATATATATTTTTTGGGGGTTCACCGGATGTCTGCGGATTCAGTAAGAAGCAAAATGAAAAATAGTTTGAGTATCTCTGTAAATTTAAATGCACCATGATGAAATCCAATGGTTTTTGCTCAAGTAAACTGAGTCATTTATAACCTGATCACTTGATAGTATTTCTCCGTTTTGACTTAGCTCTATTGGCCTACGTGCACGCGTTCTGSTCACAAAATTTACTGTCAGTTTCATGCAGGTGTTAGACTTGACACATAGTGTTTCATTTGATTCCCTTTCGGCTTTGTTGTTTGTCTATTGTGGCCATTTATTCCTTAACGTTCATGCATAAAAATGTATACTTATTTAATTCACTCTACCATTTTTCTTTGACAAGTGTCAAAAGAACCTCCCCTGCCATTGGTTTGTAATTTCTGCCGTAGACATTCGCCTTGAGTGTCAGATGGACTGACATAAGTGATATATTTCTAGAAACTCTGGCTTTCGCCAAGATATAGAAAGAGGTTTCAGTGTTGAATTTGATGGATTTGCAAGACATAAGTCATTCGAAGAAGAATTTRAAAAACAATGCTTGTGGCCATTTTAACTAGGTGTTTCGATCGTAAATGAATAGCGCTTCGCGCGTATTTTTAAACTCCAACTACGTCGCAAATTTCGATTCCATTGCCCTCAAATTTCCACAGAAGTTACAGTGATTATCGATAATTCTTGTTGGTAAATTAATTTGCCAAAAAACGAAGCCATTTGGATAAACGATGCAAAATAAAAACTCCTTCATTTTTCTTCAAAATTAATTTTCTCGAAACTCATCGCAGAGATTGTAATAAAACTTTCAGAATCATTTTTTAATAATAACATAATTGACATACTGACAAAGTTTCAATAAAATCTTAACCTAAAATTTCGAGTTGTTTGAGCAAAATGATGTACATTCGATGATGTGCAATTGAATCGAAATTTGCGACGAGGTTGGAGTTTAAAAACACGCGCGAAACGCTATTTATTACGCTCGAAACACCTTAACTCCGAAAATTTATCGARTCTTGGTTGATATTGCTGTCTTTGTAAGGCTTTTCAGTAACCTATTTTGACTGAAAATACCAGGAATCGACACTTCGTGAGCTGTGCACGGCACAGCTTGAAGCTCCAGGGTTACATAACTTTTTTTCTGACAATCTCAAAGTGTCCAATTCATTTTATTTACTAAAGCTGTTTTTGTAATCTTAGCTTGTGCAACAACTGACATTTCAACCCCCCCATGTAGACCCTTATACTCAGTAATGAGTACTTTTCGGCTTTGAAACTCAATATTGACGTGTTAAAGATGTTATTTTTTTCAATCAAATTCGCGTGCGATGTCCTGTTCATGAAATATATTTTTCAGTCACTTAGCAAATTTATTATTCGTAAGATCTTAAAAGAGCTGTTGTGGCGTGTKTTTTTTTATTTTTATTTTTATTTTTGCAAGGATATRATATAATATATCTCTTAGGAAGCTGCTTTTCACTAATACCCACTGACCTAAMGACAACAACTCAGCTTTACAATGAAAATCGCAATATAAAATTTTCATCTCAATATGTCAATTGACCTGCTGTTGTGTGCATAATCAACTAAGTTTAGGTTGAAAGATAAAACAAGCTTGGTCGAACTCCTTTTTCAGAGCGATAAAATGTCTTAGTATGTCAGTGATTGTATTATCAGTTTATAAGGCGAACGACAATAATAGACCGAAGAAAAGACATGGATATATTACACAGATTGTGTTTCGCCTTCATTTTTCTTCGTGCATTTCCATCTGTCACAGCAGAGGGAATTTACAAAGATGGTCAAATCATTATTGGCGCTCTTTTACCAGTTCGTCACCAAAACTCGGATACTTTATATTCGTGTGGGGAACTACGTCCTCAMGGTCTTGCTTCTGTGGAAGCGGTGATTTATGCAATAGAAACCATTAACAATGACAAGTCACTCTTGCCAAATATGACTTTGGGATATGATATAGCAGACAGTTGTTATAGTCCATCCTTGGCAAACAGATTGTCCTTCGATTTTGTCTCTAGAAATAAAGCTATAAAACTAAAGTATGAGGTGAATGACACAACTGGCAGTTGTCAAAAGTATTTTGGGATTCTACGGAAGCCGATTGCAGCTGTAATCGGCACGGGGGACTCCAGTAGTTCCGTCGTTGTTGCCAGTATTTTGAACAATGATGATATTCCTCAAGTCAGCCCGTTTGCCACTAGTGAAGAGCTCAGTCAGCCCTATTTCAAGACGTTCTTCCGACCAGTTCCACCAGACGGACAACAAGCCAAAGCCCTCGCTGATATTATAGACTATTTCAAATGGAAATACGTTTACGTCGTTGGAGAGGACTCATCATACGGAATTTCCGGGATCAAGGCACTCGAAAATGAGGCTTTGGAGAGAGGYACGTTTTGTATCTCCCAAGTCTCTTACTTTCCATCGTCCGGCTACCAGAAGAAAATGAAAGCAATAGTTACAAAAATTAAAGAAATATCAAATGTGAAAGTGGTTATGTTGTGGGTTAGTACCGCTACTTCCACTCCTTTTATAGAAGAGGCGTACAGGCAAGGCATTACTGGAAGAACTTGGCTTGCATCTGAAGGTTGGTCCGAGGTAACATCTCTCTTTCAAAAGAAGTACATGCAAATAATTGGAGGATTTATGGGAACAAAACTGCGAAAGTATAACCTAGATGGATATTTTCACCATTTAACAACGTTGAACTATTCATCTGCAAGAGTTCAGMAYCATACTTGGTGGARAGAGTACTGGATRCTCCAACAGAAATGTGAAAACATTTTGACATGCGACTTTCAAAACTTTCACATCACAAAACAACAATATGAAGACATGTATTCTGCTTATCTCCCTTACGTTATCGACTCAGCATATGCAATTGCGCATACCATAGATGCTATCTACCGCTGCCTTGGTAGTGATTGCCCTAAGACTGAACTATTTGTTGAAGCAAAAGACATTTTAAGATACATGTCCAATGTAACTTTCAAGGGGGTAACGGGAAAAGTTGAATTTGATAAAAATGGAGACTCCATTAGTTCGGCCGCTTATGATATTGTTAATTTACAAGCAGGAACCACTACCCCTCAGTTGAAGATTGTTGGCACCTGGGTTCGAGACAAAGCAACGCGATTAAAGATAAGCCATGATTCATTGTATTGGAACAACGGTTCTAAAACGGTCCCAGTATCGGTATGCAGAGAACCTTGTCGACCAGGGTACATGCAGACAACGACTGTGGCATGTTGTTGGAAGTGCATTCCCTGCCAAATTGGTCTTATAAGTCGACGTTATAGCTCTATAAACTGTTCGGAATGTCCAATGGATAAAATGCCTGATCAAGATCGGACAGAGTGCATTGACTTGCCAGAAGTAAATATCTCATTTCTTGATTCTCAATCAATTGTTCTCCTCGTTGTGGGGGCCATCGAGCTTATTTTGGTTCTCTTTGTCCTTTACATCGGCTTGAAATATCGAAATACACCAATTGTCAAGTCTTCCAATCGAGAAATGAGTGTTTTATTTCTTTTCGGTATAGTCGTTGGCATAGCATCTGGAGTTATCCTCCTTGCTCACCCTACACCGTTGATTTGTTATTTCAACAACCCTCTTCACGCCCTTTACTACACGCTATGCTTATCGATTCTAATCGTCAAGACCAACCGATTGGTTCAAGTSTTTAAACTKAATTTCGTKTCGTCAAAAWTTAGTCAGCTCTGTAATCTTAAGAATGCGCAATTTGTGATTCTGTTCTGTTTAAACRYGATAGCAATAGTATTGTTGACATTATGGCATGTACTCGACCCACCTTATGTTCACGTTACAACGGAACGTTTAAAGTCAAAGCACTTRGGATGCAGAGGACATAAGGGAACTGTTGGCCTTGCTCTTCAAGCATCATTGTATGCATACCAGTTTATTCTGTCCATCKTCTGTGCTTACTACGCGTTCAAGGCCAGGAAYCTACCAGAAAACTTTAGTGAAGCACGTTACATTGCCTTTACAATGTACATGCAACTTCTGTGTTCGATGTGCTATGCTATATTGCAAAACACTGTGAAGGGGAACTTTTTGACAATTTTCTCTTCCGCAATCATAATTCTAAGTTCATTTGGGTTTCTCGTTTGCATGTTTGCTCCAAAGGTTTACATCATTYTGAAATTCCCTGAGAAAAATACAGCGGAATATGTRAAAGCGTCTGTGGCAAATCACTCTCTTCAAAATRCCTTCGGAATTATACCACGWGCCGTGGGAACGGATTTTTGTAGTTCCAATTGCAACTTGAAAAAAGAAGTTAGCWCTCGTCAAAATAAAGCCACTGGTAAAGGAACCACRAAAGTTATAGAACCCAGTWACWCTGAGTGCGAARGRTTTGAAAGAGAAGTTTGCAAAGGCTATTACAATCCCGATGAAGATTTCAGTGAAATGATGAAATCAGAAAATTGTTRCAAGAAAATCTCCGATACTGTTGTCAAGAAACAAAGTGGATCAGATGTAGGAGCYATGAATGCTGTCATTTGTCAAGCTACCATTTTGGACCAYCAAGAAATAAATACTTTGGAATTGAACATAAATCCCAGGTGTCTTTCAAACAGTAATGGGTATGAACATAGTAGCATTGTCATCGAGAGACCGCCCATTTTTGAAAGTCAGACACCATCTAGTGAAGATTATGATGACACTCGCTTGTAACGGACTAGAATGTCGAGCTCARCCTAACCAATTGTGTCCRAACATTGTGAAGATCAAATCGCGAAATGTCACTGACATCAAAAAACATTGAGAGAAAGGGTTGTGAATAATTACCTGAAGACCAACGTMAATGCGACATTAAACTATGGAGGAATGTAGTGCTTTAGGATTTCWTTGTTTACTGTAGTATTTAGCTTTGTTATAAACATTTGTGGTGGAAACTTCGACTTTACTGTGACAAATAATCAAATGTCACTGCAAAGCACTGAAAGGAAGACTCAATCGCTTAAATATTGTAAAGTAATGGGGACGTTTATTATCAGACGGTGAAGAAATTTCCATGAATGAAATTTGTTCAAGTCGTCATTGCATACAGTAGATACCAAAGGTTTGCACCCGTTAGAAAAGTCATAATCACTGAAGAGGATGAATGTTTGACGAAAGATTAGTTAACTCTAAAATAGCCTTCTATTCTTAAAGATAATATATTCATAAAGGCATCAATCACCTTGCAAACAAATGGCAATCAAAGGTAACATTGAATGAGCTTCAAAT